GCTGCTCAAAGAGTATGAAGTCAGGAAAAATAGAAAATCAGTGCTATGGAAGTCAGGCAGTAGCTATAAAAACTTTAAGTTTTTGTGGCATTTATATAAGTATCAAATAATTTTTTAATTCCTGTGATGTTTTTTAATTTTAAGTAAATCTATACTTTCATATAAAATTTCCTACTCTGTTACTTAAGGAGTCACCTTAAATCGCACACTTCAGGTTATACAGTCTGGCACCTGTGTTTGATCTGAAAAATGTTGCGAGATAAATATTCCTCTTTTTTGGCCCAGGTAAAAGAAGCGCTGTGCACATGCAGACTGGGGCTTGGACAGGAGTATTTACATCTCCTGGGCTCCTCACTTTGGGTGCAGTGAGCTGGCCGAAAACCTCTAACACTGTCATTAGCAGCCTGGGGCAAGAGCTTTTAGCTCTGTAAGCAATGCTGTGGAGTGTAATCCCAAATTTTGTCTTGTGAGAAGTTGCTTTCTGTGTTGCCTAAGAGTTAGGCAGTGCTTACTGGCAACATTGAGAATCGGTATTTTGAATTTCATGAATCTTGGTTGATCTTTGAAACAGTTTTGGAAGTTGAGGACCTTAGAGCACAAGACTGCTCAGGAGAATACCAGGCAGCGATAGGGAGTCTGAGAATCAGAATTGCCCACTGAATGGACAATGGGCAGTGACGACCCAGGGAACAACTATCTCTTTGCCCTTCCCACTGGCCCTAGAATTAGCCATTCTAGAGGCAGCTTAGAAAAGTGGTTTTCTAAGAGTCATTTTAAAATTATTTATTGAGTCACACCCCATGCCTGGAATTGTATTACACCAAGTGCTGGAAATAAATGGATAACCTAGATGTTACTGTCTCCTTAAATTGTTAAACTACTAATTTGGAAGAGAGAAGGTATACATTAAAACTGTAGCTTTAAGTCAAACCTTTAAAATCACCTTTGTAGTATATATCAGTAATGGCTAGTTCATAGGATTGGATACCAGTAGTTTCCTATGGTTCAATATATATCCTACAGAAGTATTATTTTCCTTTTTGGGTAGGGCTTCATCATCAGGGCCAAATGTCCTGTGTGGTATGTGTAGCTTATCTGGTACCAACATCACACAAATTAGCAGCATCCCTCAGGCATTTGATAACTGATCACATAAATTCCTCTACACATTTCCAGATGCAGAGGGCAGGAATCAGAGAGGGGGAGGTGGTCAGGAAGGTCCATACCTTATTTCAGAATTCTTGAAATGGTTCCAGAAATCAACTCAGGATGGCTTGTCTGAAGAATATCCTGAGAGGGGGTGGGACTTGTGTTCGTAACTGAAAGGGAGGGTGGTCATGGGAGCAGGGTCTAGAGTTTATTTTTCTCTCTACACTGACAGAAGTGACCAGGCTGGATTGGAATCGCTGGGTCCAGGAGAGGAGGAAAGAAAACAGTTTTGGTGCAGGGGAATGAAGATGAGGAGGTGAACTCTGAGGTGGGCTCTGGATGACAAGCCAGTAGATGAAAGGTGAGCCCTGTGTGAACTTGGATCTTACTCTGCTGGGAATGGGCATTCCTGGAAAAGAGTGTTTCTGGAAAGCTGCATGGGGCCCTTCCTCTCTGCAGTCTCTTCTGAAATCTGTTATGACAACTGGAAATCTTCACAAAGATGGGCTTGGGTTCACAGTTGTGTACCTACGAGTGCAGAGGCTGTGAGTGGGCCTGCAGTTCCACGTAGGTGGAAGATCCCCCAGCCTGCCGCAGAAAGGCAGTGCCGTGACTGAGAAAGCATGGTGCGCACACAGACTTACTGTATTTTCATGTCATGCCTATGTGTCTGGCTGTTCTTGAAATCTTAGATTGCATGACGAAACCCCACAAAACCTAGGCAGGAGAAAGAACCAGGTTAGATGTATTGTGAATGCTGCATGGGCTACTGGCCCACCATATGCACCTGATGTGTGGTTTAGATCTGACCCCTGAGCTGCCGGGTCCCCACTGCACTTGGGGCTGTTCCACATGTTAAGGTGATGCTTCAGGAGTGTTGTGAGCATCTCCTCAGAGAACCACCCTTAATATTCTGGGTATTTGATGGTGGGTCCAAATAAAAATGTTAGTATTACAAACCAACAATATAGAGGGTGACAACTGTTGTTAAAATAGTGAGCCCGGCCCTCCCTGGTGGCGCAGCAGGTTAAAGCACAGCTCTAAGGAGCTAAAGCTACTTCAGCATGAGTTAGATCCCTGCCCCAGAAGTGACCCACATGGCACTGCAGACCTCTCTTGACTCACCCACTGCTCCCCTCAGCAGTGTACTTAGTCAGTCAGCCTGTTCTGCTCCCCACTCTTTCTCTGGTGAATTCTCTCACTGCCCCCACACCTCTGGCCTGTACCCCAGTTCTGTATGCATAAATAAATAAATCTTAAAAAAAAATAGTGAGCCCCTCAAGAGGGACAGGTGTCAGTGGATGTTCGCTTTTACCAAAGGGTGGGTTTGTAAATGTCATGAACTCTAGTTTCATTTAGGGATTATTCACTTGTCTCATTCTTTTCTCTCCTTGACATCTTTAAATAACAGGATTTCTTTTAATAACAAAAACCCCCTCCAATTCCCCAACCCTTCACCAGCAGCCAGCAGAACATCCCTATAATCGGTGCTCTCCAATTTAGTTCTGAATTGCATGTCTTGCTCTTTTTTTCCAGCAGTTTCAGGTGCTCAGAACAGACCTTAAGCCCCCTGAAGGCAAGAACACAGCTTTAAACTGCGCCCAGACCACCGATGCCGGTGGTCGGAAGCAAAAGCAGTTTAATGGGAAATAAAGCAAAGGTCTTACCTTTGCAACTGCAGCTCCTCCTTGGAGAGGCTTTTTGCAGCCCAGCGCAGCCCCCCACCTGGGGCACTGTCTGGCTCCCCCCACCCCCTAAACAGCCCCTCCTCACTGCTCTTCCCTACTGCGGCCAGCAGGAGGCGCCCCGGACTCGGGTTAAGTCTTTTTCCCCTTTCCTACCCCACTTCCCCAGCTCATGACGTGGGAAGCTGCCTCCTCCGGAGTCTTAGCAATAGGAGTGAGGGGTGAAGGGGTTTGGGGGTGGGGTGGGGTGGGGGGGTGTGGAGGAAGGAGACGCGCGCGCACACACACCCTGGGAACAGAAACATCTTCCCTGGCTTCGTGGGTTTCTCCTCCCACCAGAGCCAGTGTGTGAGAGGTAGGTGTGTGCGCGCGTGTGTGTGCGCGCGTGTGGCACGTTTTTGAGTGTGAGACCCATATGCAGTCCAGGCAACCTGTGATCTCCCGCCCTCCCTCCGTCCCCGGTGATTAATACCCATTTTTCTTACCCCTCCCCTCCTCCCCCTCCTCGCCCTCCTCTCCCGCTGCCTGCGGTTGACTCGCAGCCTGCCCCCGCCCGCTTCCCCTCCCCCGGCTTCCAGCATCACCAACTGGAATCTGGGTTTCTGCCTCTCCACCCCCACCCCTTTTTTTGAGAAAGGGAGGCCCCCCCACCCCTTTTCAAAATCCACTTCCTTCGGCTTTTTCACCTCTAGGAAATCTCGGGGCTTTGCTCTATTGAAAGTGCTCGTCAGGGTGCTGTTTGAGCACCACAGTACCCAGAAGTGCTGGCGTCCGAATGCATTTTCTTTCGCGTTGCCAAGAAGAGTCGTGAACTTCAAACCCTCCGAGACGGATTATCAATCCTTCTTTGCAGGAAGGGAAAACCCTCAATCCACGGCCACTGGCCACCCCTCTCCGGAGACTGCAATCGCTGGAGCGCTCCAAAGCGGTACGTAAATATTCGCTTTGGAGCCTCTAGTCTCAATTTGGGGGGGTTGAGGCTGTCAGGCCGATCAAGGGTCGAAGCAGCGGAACCTTTAACCAACCTGGTCGTTAGGCAAAGCTCTCAAATCCCGCAGAAGCCAGCAGTTGCTAATTGGGATGTGGCTTTTTTTTTTTTTTTTTTTAAAGATTCTTTTGGGTGGAAAAGGGTAGGGCTCTCTCTGCTCTTTTTGGAGGGGTTAATCCCCCGGCGGAGCGGAGAGGCTGGGCATTGGTGTCCCCTGCGGGAGCCACGCGCAGCGACCCTCCGTCCAATCGACACGTTGCAGGTGAAGCCCGGTGCGCTGCACATCAGCGCGGCGGCGGCGTGAGTGTGCGCGGGGGTGAGTGTGCGCGGGGGGGGGGATGAGTGTGAGTGCGCGCGCGGGGGCGCGTGCGCGTCGGGGGCGTGTGTGCGCGCGCGCGTGCCAGTGTGCCCCTTCCAAGAAATGCCCAGTGTGCACCCCGTGCACCATCAGAACCCATTCAGCACGAGCCCGGGGTGGGAGGAGGCGCTGCTGCTGGAGGCGATGGGGAGAGCGAGACAGACGTGTCAGCAGCAATGCAGATGGGGCTGGGGGCCGCACTTGCTGGCGAGTTAAGTGGGGATTGTGCTCCTGCGTGTGTGTGAGTGTGTGCTGCTATATGGGGCCGCTTGTCCCTCCCTCCCTTCTCCTTCCCACTTCCCTCCTTCGCTTGCTCCCTCCCTCTCTCCTCTTCCATTCAGGTTGGCTTTCCCACCTCTCATCCGTGCCTGTCCCAGGAATGGTATAGCCAGACCTTTTCTGAATTATTTATAGATCGGTGCCAGCTGTTTTCAATTCCTCTCATGTGCACTCTGTGGGAAATGCAGGGTTTCCTCCCCCGTTTCCTTAAAACGAATTGATATCTTTTTCGGAATGCATTTTTCTCACCCTCAGGGGCCACTGGAATGGAGCTCTGACCGCCTCTTTTTCCCCCTTAGGAAAGGGACGCTTTGGGAATGACCACGCTCCACGGAGGGACAGAGCCGGCCCCCAGCCTCTCTACACAGAGTCTTCTCCAGTAACGCTCCCCAAATCAAAAACCATCATTGCCAGAAGAATCATTTTAAAAAATAGCCCAGCCCGAACCCTCACATGCAAACGGAATAATTGCTCTGGATTCTGCATTGTGAGCTGCTCTCCACATCCCGAATTACCTTTGAATCCAGTCTTTTTTTTTTCCTTTGAATTTGCATCTCTTCAAGACACAAGATTAAACCCAATTCACGTTAAATTGGATTTCAAATTGTCTTCCTTTCATTTATCCTTCGTTTTTCTTATGTGGATATGCAAGCGAGAAGAGAAGACTGGACATTCTCAACATGCTTACTCCCTTAATCTGTGCGTCTAGAGGTTTGGCTTCTACAAACCAAGGTAGGGTGAATTCTATTTTATTTTCTTCTCACCTGAGCTAGGGATTCCTTGTTTATTTCTCTTAAGTCCTGCAAGTGGATTTTGGGGAAGGAGAGCTAAAAAGATATCAAAATAATGCTGTTTGGGGGAAAAAGCCTTCTTACAAAGGGGGCCATCTCCCTGGCATTTCCTTCTTCATCAAACAGGTTTTGGGTTTTTTAGGCAGGGAGTGTAGATATATGGAGGCATAAGGACTGGATGTATGTAGATACAGCCTGGAGACCTGTATGATCTTCGAGTTTAATAGCATTTTAGTCACCTAGGACTAAAGCTCTGATTTTTATGGGAATCTAGATTTTTTTTTAAAGACTGGCTTTTCCCCTTTGCCACTTCCATGCCTCTCTCCAGCTTCTGTGCCCATCTTCCTAGGCATCCTTCCGTGCCCTTTAAACATTAAAAATAATGATGGAGCTCACTCTGATGGTTGCCTTGAAGTCCACTTGCTGTCTAAAGATTGACACGGGGCCCAGAGCTCCTGGGAGGCCTACTGCAGAGGGAGAAGTCTGACTGGGGGATCAGGCTGGTCTTAGAACACCTGGAATTGAAGATAGCTGCAGGTTAAGAGCATTTCGATTTTAAGCTTAGAACGAAGGAATTCTGTCAATATTCTGCTTTTAATTTGTGTTTTTTTTCCCGTGTGCTATTATTTTGAGCTGTAAATTTCTCCTTCTGTCTGCACATCTATTTATACCCACACATCCTCCAAGCAAACTGTTACTTCCACACTCTTGCAAAATGGCTATCTTGCAGAGTTCTAAAATGCTGTTCATGTGGACGGGGTGCAGAATTCGACACGTGAGTCTTTGTGTTAAACAAAGAGATGTGCCGCTTGCATGTGTTAGTCTTGTACCCTCAAAACAGAACGAAAATTTCCCTTTTCCCCTTCTCATGAATTTTTACAATATGTGAAAATGTGCTTGGGCCGTCTTTTTCTGTACTTGAAGAGAGAAATAGCTGGAAAAAATGGAAAAGACTCAGCTAAATGACTCTAGCTAGTCACTCATGCAATCCAAGACAACTCCTGAAGAGGTCAGAACCTCCAGTGGCTGGAGGGCCAGGGTGGGGAGTTAGCAGCTGTTTGCAAGATCCATGGACCACACAGCCCCAAATTCTGAGATTCCCCAAATGCAGGAATCAGTTGGAGATCAAGGTCTTCAAGGGAATGTAGCAGAATCATTAGCATCTGTAGTCCTCCTGAAAGTGTGCTCCCTCCCACATCTTTCTTTACTGATGTTTTTGTAACAGTACTTTGAGAGAATCCAAAATACTCCAAATGGATGGGGAGAGGGGAGATCTCACAAGGTCCTTACCACTCAGTGTGACAGTAGAAGACAGTTCTTCGCTGCCCAGAAAAGATGGCTATAATTCCAACTTACTACTCCCCTCCCCCAAGTTTCATTTTTTTGAGTGTTTATTGCTTGCACAACACTGTGCAAGCCAGAGTGTCATCAGCGAGATGGATGGGATATCGCCCTGACCCATGTTCTCCCCAGGTCTGCGAAAAGTTGAGGTTACTGGTGTGTGCTCACCTTAGAGACACCTGAGCTGGTTCTCCATCTGCTTCTACTCCTTCAAGTGGGAGGATGAACTCTTCATCTCTCTTCAAAATAGAACGGAGGCATGGGTGAGCGAGGCAGCTCCATGCACCATGGTGTGTTTCATAGCTACAGAGGAGAAGGCGAGGTGGGCGTCTGAGGCACATGCGCCCTTTTGCATTCCTGGTGCCTCAGAGCAGACTCTGTACCTGGTAGGTCCTTTGTCATGTTTATTGGTGACCAAGAGGAACAGGAGACCTTTTGACAGAGATCTTTGCCTCGAGTGCAAATGGAATCAAGGCAGCTTCCAAGCTATTATCTGTTGGCCTGAAGATCAGACAAGGGATAAGTGGTTAAAAGGGAAGGGTGCTGAGGAAGAGGAGGAAGAAGAGGGAAAGATTCAGCAAAAAAAAAAAAAAAAAAAAAAAAGAGGACTTCCAATTGGAGGGCATGATTAGGGTTCTGGGAGGAGTCGCCACAGGTGGTCCGTGCCTTTTTTACATGCAAACCATTTTGGGGACCCTAGGAAGGAAGCAGTTGTTCCTCGAAGAGCAGACTCCATGATCTGTGACTCAGTGGTGCTCTGGACTGTCTCAGGGTCTTTGTTCTCTCCTTTTCCCCCCTCATAGCACAAAGAGCTGACTGGGTTCTCTTTTGTCTTCTCTCCTTCTGCCACCTCCATTGCATGTGGGAAAGAAATGTGGCTCCTGGTGGGTGGAAGAACACGTTGAACTTCCATCAAAGAGCATCCATGATGTGCAGTTAAGAAAAAATATTAGTGGCAGTGGAGACTGCCCAGGAATGCATTCCAGGCCAAGAAGGTTAGGTTGATTTCCAGGGAAGCAGGGTCACATGCTTGTCTGCCATCTGTGTTTTGGGTGGGGCAAAACATGATGGATCCGTGAACACAGAGTAGCATGGCAGCTTAGGGATCCATGCTACCAGGCAAAGAAAGGAGCAGGGTGTGCCACTGGATTACCTCCTTTCTTCTCTCCATGGCTCCATCCCTAGCAAGCCTGCCTGCCTGAAGAGCCTCACTTTGCTACTGTATGTGTTTAATTTATGGCAGGGGTAGGTGCAGCAAAGATAATGAGGAAGGAGGTGAAATGACAAAAAAAAAGGAGGAGGAAGAAAAAGAAAATTCCTTTAGTCACTACTTTGCACACCCAGTGCCTTTCTTTTAGGCTGAGTGAGAAGAGCGACTTCCTCTGGTGAAGGGTGGAACAGCAGGTTGCTTGATCTTGTGTTCCTGCTCAGCCCTGAAGGTGGCTTCAGAACCCGGAGCATCTTCCTGGACCTTCAGGTCCATGCCCCCAGCCCTGTGTGGGGAGGAAGGGGGACATCAGAGGGCTGACCCTTGGACTACAGTTGGCTTATGAGATGCCTGGCACTTTACAGGGTGAAAGAGGACAGAGCTGACTCAGCTCTTGGCCACCTCATCATCACCTTGTCAAAACTTTTCCCCTGGCCTCCAGGAATTTGACAAACCCAGGATGCAGGGTTTTTTTTTTTTTTTTTTTAACCTCTATTTTCTAGCTCAAAACTGTGAAAATGAAAGTGGTATGTCCAATATTATTAATAGGTCAAAGCAAAAACTTAGTAAATGTGTATGGATTATGAATGGATTATGAACTGTAGACAGTGATGGGAGAAAGGACATGTTTGTGTGTGAGGAAATCGTAGCGAAAAATGAGCCAGAAGATGGTGGGGTGAAGAACCCATGGTGGAACTCACCACTCTCCAGGCTGAAGAGGTGTTGCTGTTAATGAGAGAGGCCTCTCCCTGGTAATGACCTCTGGGGCAGACCAAACCACTGATCTCCTATTAGTTGTTGGGGGTCCGAGAGGATCAGCTGCACAATCAAGTTCATTTTCCTTCACGGCCATTTTACACCCTCCCTAAGAATTCTAGAAATTTCCGCCTTTCAGTAAACCACTTTTCAGTCAGACTAGGCTACTGTGCATACAGTCAGACACTCGCATTGTCTCTCTATGTAAGTAAATATAGATCAAGAGTTACCATTCTAATGAATTGTTCACATTTATTAAAGTGCATCTCCTCTTTGCAACCACAAGAAGTCTCCAGGGGGAGTAGATTAGTGGTTGAATTGATATGATCTTTCAGAAGGTTGCTGAAGATAGAACACAATGTAGTCGGCTGTGGAGCAGCCTAACTCGGAGAAGGTGGGTTTCTGCCGTTCACCTGTGGATGTGGGCCGTGGCACGTCTGTGGTCTACCTGCAAGATCCACCATGTGGATGCATTCTCGGTGTGTTGGGGTCCCTGGCAGATGTGTGCAGGTACCCTTGGTGGGGTCCTTGCAGCTTCTGACCTCCTTAACTGTCTCCATTTTCTAGTGCTTACAGCAGATGTGGGAGGAGAAGGGACCTAGCATCTGTGTTGACCTCTCATTGACATTCTCACGACTTCCCCATGCAAGGCGGTTGTTCTGCCTTCTGTGTTTTACCGGCTTGTTTGTGATTCCTACTATACTTTCTTCTGATTTTATTTATATGCCTTGTTTCCATAAGCAATTCGTGAGTTTCTCAAGGGCAGGGAGTAATGTTTTATTCATCTTGGAATCTTTGTGTTTAACATGGTGACTGGCTGCTCTCAGAGACCCTCAAAAAAAAAAATTAGATGAGTGGAGGGAGGAAAGAAAATATTAGTCAATGACACGCTTTGTTGTGGTGGTGAATGCAGGGATGGTGGTATCAGGTGAGATGAAGACCAGCCGGGCTCCCTGCCACTTTGGAAAACATCCACTTTGGGCTTCCCGTTTAACAGAGAAGTCACCACAGGTGCAGGAATGTGAAGAAGTGATTTGCTTGAAGTTGTACGGCTTAGTGCCCAAACCATTGATTAGAGTGAGGTGAAATGGTTATCTGTGGATTTCAGGCGTCTTTATGGGCACTTCTCAAACTTTACGGGTCTGTAGAATGACCTGGTGAGCTTACAAAAATGCACATTTTCTGATTCAGAGGTCTGGGGTGGGGCTGACATTCTGTTTTTCTCTCTCTCAGGGGATCAGATTTGCTTCACCATGCTTTGTGGTCTACACGTTTCTAACCTAGTTACTTATCATGGCCAACATGGGCCATTCCACCAAGAGATTCTCCTTTGGAGAATGCCAGTGTTCTAAAAAAGAAAGGAAAATCTGGGGGGAGCCCATGTATTTAAGTTCACCCATCTCATCTTCCTCTGACTCGCCCTCCCCTCCCCCCCCCGCGCCCCTTTGCCTTTTCCCTTTTCCCATTCGATCTCTTCTCCTCAGTGCTTTTTTGCTCTGGTCTTTCTCATAGTTGAGTTGTCTCCTGCGACTGGGTTTATCTATTCACATGTTTATTTTTAATTTTTTTTTATTAATGTGGTTTAGTCTTTTTTCCTTGGCTCTGTCCTGTTAATTTATTTTTACGTCTTTTGCTTC